TCTTCATACTTCAGTTGTATTGGGGACTCTGGGAATGCCAAATTTTTAACCAGCGCATAAGCTTCCTCCCCAACAGCTGAGAGAAAATGTGCTGTCTTCTTCTCGGCGTCCAAACTTTGGCGGGTGAGACACCAAATCTCAAAACGCTCCAAATAATCTTCCACATAGCGTGAGTTCAAATGAATATCGAGAATTTCCAAGTTGCAAGTGTCCATAACGATATAAAAACCGGCCGCGACGCCAAATATGGTATTCTGTACTTGGTATCAGGAATTGAACAGCAATAATCCGCGCAATTAAGCTCCAACCGAACTAGTACGCAGTATGGAATAGCACTCCAGAATATTCAAAGTCAGTTTTGTATTACGCGCCGAAATTGTGCAAAACAATCGATCATGTAATGAAACAAGAATGTTCGGTTTATACGCAATCACCACACCACCCCTAACATACAACCAGTAGGATGCTGTGTCCAAATGGGAAGAAGGCAGATAGGCATACTAGGCGTCTACCGTGCCCCTCTTGCGACTCCGTGGAAAGATATAGAGCTTTTGCGGGTTATGCAAGAAACCCCGGCTAACTATCAGAGGTTTCTCGTAATAGGTGACTTTAACTTCCGGGAGATATCCTGTGCACATCGATCCACAACGGTAGGTTCCCAAGGGGCACGTCTTTTGAAGCGGTTACAGGAAAGAGACCTCTCACAACATGTTACAAAAGCAACGAGATATCGAGGACACCAGCGTCCCTCGCTGCTTGACCTAGTGGTCACAAGGTACAGCTCGGACATAACTAGTTTAAATATGGAAGAACCGTTGGGCAAAAGCGACCACGAAGTTATTCGCTTTAGACTAATGATAGTAATAATAATAATAAGTGTATATTTCACGGGGCCCCGTGAGGCATGCATATGCATGATCAAATGTACAACATAATCCTCCGTACAGGAGAGGCCCAAAAGGAAAAAAATTGAAGGTCGCAGTGAACATAATTACAAATGGAACACAGAGTGGACGAGGTATCAGATAAGAAAAGGTTGAGGATGGCGGAATGCTCTAAGAGAGCAGGTCGGTGGAAGTAGGACGAAAAACAAGAATTGTTATACCGAATGAATGGTGGGATGATTGGAAACACGACANAGCGGATAGGACGAAGCAAAACAGAGTGAAACTGTCATGGAATATATATGAACTTCAGGTTGTGAAAGAGATGAGTTCTGAAGGGTCTTGTTCGATGGTCTCAGGGGCTCCGATCAGCAGTGGATGGTTAGCTATCGTAGACACGGACCCACCGTCATCCGGCTCTATGGGCGCATAAACGTCGCAGAGTTGGTACAGGCTGCAAATATCATCAACCGGTACCCGACGTCCCAGGATTGTACCGTGCAGGATAGATGGTTAAAAGAGGGTTAACTAACCTCACAGAAAGGTTCGCCCCACTGAGGGAAGAACGAACCAAACATAGACCAATATAGTGAAAACCCGGGATAGAGAGGGCGCGGAAAATCCTCCGAAATTACTAAAATCGATTTCAGCTTTACGGTACTCAACCAGCCTGGAGTGACTACAAGCGGGCGCGAAACAAATGTCAAGACCTCCAAAGGCGTTCCAAATATGACTTTAACTTATCACGAGGCGTCAAAAGGAATCCCAAAAGCTATGCGTATGTGCAAGCCAACGCACGCACGCAGGAGAGTGTAGGAGCATCAGCATTGTCCAATAGAGGCATAGCTACGTGTAACCGCGACAAGGCCGAAAATCTACTTAAGTTCTTTAAAAGCGTGTATAAGACCAGAGTCGACTACGATAATCCGGTTTTAGCAGGAGCAGCTGATACGCCAGAGTCTTCTGATATTGCCATCTGCGAAACAGATGTACATCGTGAACTCCAGGGGCTCAACAAGCACAAGTAAGCAGGTCCGGATGGAATCCACCCGGCCATAGTGCGGCCGCTGGCCGGGGTGCTGGTCGGGCCTCTGACTGTACTTTTTAGGGAATCAGTGCAAACTGCTACGAAACCCCAGGACTGGCGTACAGCTACCGTTGTAGCAATGCACAAGGCTGGACCGAAAAACAAAGCAGAAAACTGTAGACCCGTCAGCCTAAATTCAGTGTTGTGTAAGTGCCTGGAGCGACTAATCAGAAGGCAGATTTGCCTACATCTGACTAGCAATGGACTCCTGTAACCGGCACAACATGGCTTTGTGCAACGGAAGTCGTCTTACGAACCTGTCGGTATTCCTAGATGAAGTCTCTCAACGTATGGATGAGGAGAAAATGTATAAGTCTGTTACTTAGACTTTTGTAAAGCATTTGACTCTGCAAACCATCGATTTTTGGAATTCAACGTTCGGAGCCTAGTTATAACAAGTAAAGCCAAGGACTGGATTGTAGCCTTTTTGAGTAATCGCACCGTCCGGATCAAGGTGGGTGACTACATTTCTGACCATGAGATGGTTACGAGTAGATTTCCCCAGGGCTCAGTGCTAGGCCCCTTACTCTTTCTCGTATTCATCGACGATCTGGCACAGGATCTTCGAAATCCGTGTTTGATGTTTGTTGATGATATCGAAATGACAGGGTTAAACCTGCAAGGGGACCTGGACGTAGTCCATCGATCGTCGATCAAGTGGCAACTACCGTTGAATCTAAACAAGTGTCGGTTCCTAGCAACGACAGCGGGGTATATTCGTTGAATGGAGCTCGCATGCAGCATGCCCCGCAGCTGAGGGATCTAGGGGTTCCTATGAGCCAGGATTTTAAACCATCAACCCAGTGCGCCAAGGTTGTAAATCATGCTAGGGACAGCTGTTCAGGCTGTGTGCTGCAGTAATATGCAGACTTCCTGTGGTTTTCGTCCCCTTGTATAAGTCGATTGTTTGCCCACACATGGAATATTGTGTGCAGGCATGGGCACTGTATTAAAGGATGGACGTGTCATGTTTAGAAAGAGTGAAGCGTCTGGCTACCCCAGTGTTGGCTGGGCAAAAGGGAAAGGCTATGAGCAGCGGTTGAGAGATGTTGATCTCTTTTCGCTGGAGCGTAGACGAGTGAGGGAGGATCTGATAAACTTTTAAAATTGTAAGAGGTCTATCTGGACTCAACCTAAATGACTTGTTTACGATTTCTCGTGCTCAAAACACGAGAGGTCATGGCTATAGACTTCAGCAGAACCACACCAGGTTGTAAGTACGGGGCAGCTTCTTCGCACGCAGGGTCATACCTATGTGAAACAAGTTACCCACAGAAGTGGTCAACTGCGCCAGTGTTAACGCCTTGAAGGTGACCCTGGACGCATGTTGGTGAGCAACGTTCCCCTATGTTAGTATTTAGAGTGTGAAAATAAGGATCCTGGCGAAAACTCAGACGTGTACTGTCACTTCGAGGAATCATCAGAAGTGCGTTTTCCTTATCCAGAACCGCACCCACTCACGTCCACGTGAACGAAATAACGCAATTGTCGCAGAGCTGTAGTGCTCCCATGCTCAGTGGTACAAGAAACTGGACTGCTTCTGGCTCTACCGCAAGTCCTATGACCTGTCCTGTACTGTCCTAGAGCGTACTCTGCGAGACTACATAAGTGCGCATCTTCTTCATATCTGTTTCTTTTTCAAAGCTCAACACGGATTCATCAAAGGCAGATCTTGCCTAACAAATCTGGTATGTTTCCTGGACCTAGTAACAGAAATTAGATCAGGTAATGGAAGACAAAGTGTGTTACCTGGACTTTCAGAAAGCATTCGACTTAGTTAACCACAGGTTGTTAAATTTCAAGCTCCGGGAAACTGGACTTAGTCCGAAAGTCCGTAACTGGGTTAGAGCGTTCATGTCCGGGCGAACCTACAGGGTGCGGGTGCGGGGGTCTGTCGGAGGTGGGTTTCCCCACGAGCGGGGTCCCACAAGGATGCATTTTAGCTCCCTTTCTCTTTCTATTGTGTGTCAACGAAATAACGTCAGGACTGGAGAACCCCTGCCTTTTGTACGCGGACGATATCAAATTAGTTGGAAACTCGGACGGCGAGTGCTCCTTGCAGTGATATCTTGAAGATAATCTAGTAGTCGCCAGAATGGGACCTTCCACTCAACGCATTGAAGAGTTATCTGCTAACCAAAATGATGCATCCCGTCCCTCGACTTCGGGATAAGAACCTCCAACACCTTTTCCCCAGTCCTTTACCACTGTAGCAGCAGCCTTGAAAGCCAGGCGAGCTCTTTTTAGACTCCGAACGGCAATCGCCAACCGTTGCCCTAGTGTATTCATGCCCCTGTACACAGCCATCGTAAGGCCTTACCTAGAGTACTGTGTTCAGGCCTGAGCACCATATCTTCCAAAGGACATCAAAGTTCCAGAAAACAACTAGCGACTAGCAACCCGGATGGTTTGGGGTCAGAAAGGGCTCAACTACTCGGAAAGACTAAACTCACTGAATCTGTTTTTTCTCGAACGTCGACGGACGGGGATCCTCATTGAAGTGTACAAAGCTACCAGGAAAATGGAACAGTCCCTCATTGGGCACTTGTTCACCTTGCGGCCCAACAACATCCTCCGAGGGCACTGTTACTGAAGGGAACCAGAGGCATGCTAGCAATTAGATTTCACTTCTTTGCAAATAGAGTTGTCCCTACGTGGAACAAATTACCAGCTCGAATAGTTGAATGTCCCACAATGAAGGATTTCAAACTAGAGCTGGACAAGGAGTGGTATCTCTCATTTCCAGACCTGCCCTAGGGATCAGGGTTCCTTTAGTTTACTGATGGAATGCATGTAACAGATACTGCGCCGTCTCCCTTTCCCCCATACCTTCCAGATATCACTCCCTCGTGAAAATTCGGGGGAATCTTTACGCTCGCAGGTGAGTCGATTCACACACAGAACCTGCCATTACCAGGACACCCAACAGGCGAAGGCTTCTCTACGTCCTGTGATTTGAATTTTAATTTGTCCTGTCCTAACACTTTAATGTGTTTCACACTTTATTCCTCCGAGTTTTTCGATTGTAGTTATTTATAGTGCTCTGTCAAAGAGCACATAACAACGCGGACTAAAACTCCGTGCATAGTCATTTCGATTGGTTAATTAGGATTTGTGTAACTGTTTGGACTCGGCTGGAAAAACTATTCACGCCTTATGTTTTGCTCCGGCTTGGTTCGATTAACTGTGCACCCATGTGCCCCATTACACAGATGACCTTTGACCTTTGCCCAGCATGACCAGA